TAATTTAGACAAAAATTTCAAACCATATTGCTGGTATATCAATCCTAAATGCCGTATACAGCTAATTTAGTAGTAAAGGCCTAAATATAAAAGGATATAACGCCGTATAGGGGACCCAGGCGCTCTCACAACCGTCCTCTAGGGCGAAGAAGGAGAGAGTGAAAACATGTGGGGTCATGTGACGCAGTTTCCCGCCAAAACAGCTAAAGGGAGATAACACTGGGTGAGTAATTTTACGTCCGCTTTTTTTAAGGGAGCTTCAAAAGGGGATTCAAGTGTTCCACTATCATTCGCAAGAAGAAAGAGACAAGCAATTAAGCATGAGTCAGGATAAGGAAAAATTTGTCTCTTTCGCTCCCAACTGTAGATTCATCAGCTGTGAAATTCTTTATGCTTCTGGCATCATACAAAGGCAATGGTGTTTTGTCATATGCACTGTGCCCAAACAGCAGTCTAACAAGCATCTCATATATTGCCTTTTTTGGAGCTATCCAATAAGCCAACTCATCTGCTGTACTTGTCCATTACATTAGTGATTGTATAACCCCATACAGTCAGTAATGTAATGGACAATACAGCAGATGCCATGCCAATATCAAACAAGTATGTGGAGTTGTTGCCAAATTTCAAACTCATCCTTCTTGATGAGGGTGTACTTACTAAATGTGAGGCTAGCTTTGGTTTCTACTGACTCATTCATGATTGTCTTTCAGTGGCATTTAGAAGTTGTACATTGATGTCCAAGATATTTTTATGGATTAAACTTCTTCTTTAATTTCTCTCACGACGTTTCGAGACCATTCCAGGTCCCTTCATCAGGTAAACTGGCAGTTAGGACTATGACGTCGTCACTATGACGTCATAACTGAGTTATGACGTCACAATGCAAGTGACATGACAGTACACTAGGGAGAGTACTGTATAAGTGAGTTTGAAGAGTTAATTACATAATGATGAAAATTCATGCTAAATAATAGAGTTGAAAGTTGAATTGTCAATACACAACAACTGCTAATTACACAAAAGTTACTTGATAGCAGGCTTTCCAAAAAGAATAGTAGACTCGTTTTTTCTTTTATCTAAAGTTCATCAAGGTCCCACGCACTTGGCAGGTAGACACCTTGATCACGATTCATTGCTGGTTTATGTCTCCTTATCTCCACAGCCTCCTGTAGTTTTCTCCGACGCCAGTCATTGTTTTTTCTCGAAAGCACCCTGATATCATACCACATGATTACATGACTTGGGTTATTTGCCTTGTGCTCCGATATAGCTGACTTATCATTTTAATCCATAAAAAAAACTTGGACATCATTCATGACTGCCCAGCCTCCACCCACCTAAAGGCTAATTTCTGACAATGAGGAATCCATTTTCTTATTTTGTCAGTGGAAGTGAACCAGCAAAATCAATCATATTCCACACTGAACTGAATGGTCAGTAATATGTCTTCCTCCTTCTGCAGTGTTGGTAGATACTGATACTATGATAGATTCTTTCTATGAAGACACACAATGGAAACACCTGCACCATTCAGTTACCTCAATAGGGGCAGTGGGGTAGTCTAGTGGTTAAAGCGTTGGCTCGTCACGCCGAAGACCCGGGTTCGAATCCCCACATGGGTACAAAGGTTACGGGTAGACGTGGAATGAGCCGATATGCCTCAAACTGAAAAGGGTTGTTGACGTCAGGCGTCAGACGTAGATTTCACGGTGCATGCATGAATGACGCGCTTTTATATAAATCGGTGATTTTGTGACAGAAAAGTTATGTATGGAACACTGTAAGGATAATGTGGATCGCACTAAGGAACGAGGGAAACATGAGCATGTGTAGTGACGGCACGAATCATTACTGAACAAAATTTATGTTTGTGTGAAAGAGGCTTGAGTGCAAATTCCAGGCCAATTTCCATTAGCCCAAAATTTCTACATTAAACCATTTCATAGTGTAATTTCGACGTTTTTGGTTTCCTGTTTTTGTGTGAAAAAAAAGTATTAAAATGCAAAAAGGAAAAACAACAAATGGTACTCATGTATTACACCGGACCAACTATATTGGATTAGGTCCCTAACCCTAACCCTAAAACCTAAACCCTAAACCTTCAGCCCTAACCCTAACCCTAACCCCTTGAAATAATTCTTATAAATAGAATGCATTGACCGAACCGGCAGTATTAAAATGCAAAAGGAAAAACAACAAATGGTACTCACGTATTACACCGGACATGTACCTACTATATTGGATTAGGTCCCTAACCCTAACCCATAACCCCTAAACCCTCAGCCCTAAGCCTAACCCTAACGTACCTAACCCCTTGAAATAATCCTAATAAATAGAATGCATTGACCGAACCGGCACAAAACATGATTGACGTGTCCAGTGTAATGCATTTTTACCACTTCGAAAAATAAAATACTGATAAAAAACATTTCTATGTAATGGTGCAAATTACTGAATGAAAAAAAAATATATATGTATGTCAGTTCACATTGGTAAATCATTTACACTTAATAGTTACTTAGAAACCGAAATATAAAATATATTTACATAATTTAAATAATTACATTGACCAATATAGCGAATAATCGAATATATATAATACAGACCGGTGTAACGCATTCTCGCTAAATTCAAAAAATACAATAATACACAAAACATAACACCTCAGCACCCCGTAATACAAATAAATATGAGCATATTAGTGCAAAAAGAAAAATATTTCAAACTGGTGCTTGCAAAAAATTGCGCATACGCCGGTATACAACTAATGGAAACTCTCAACATCGTTGGGCTTATGCAATGACATAGCTTGTAGAGATGAAACACCAGTGAGCAGAGCTTATACGCGCTCACAGTCACAAAGCTAGACAACCGTGTTGCCATGCAGGCGTCATAGGGCATTGTTTCGAGAACGTGCTATCGAACAACATCACATTACATTACGTAAAAGGGTATTATGACGCATTTTTAAAGTTTGTGGTGCTGTATTCTAAAGGTAGGCCGGCTGTTCCATTAAACCCTACTTAACCTTCTAGTTCAGTGTCTGTCAATTGGGTGTCTGTCAACTGGGTGTCTGTCAAATGGGAGATAACCATCCATGTTCATGTCAATCACTGGATTATCCATTACAACCATCATTAATCACAGACTGTTGTCATATTGCTGGAATACTGCTGAATGTGGGGTTCACATAGTTATACAGCAAACAATAAATTACACCTAACAATAATATCAGGATATACTGTTGCCAGTAAAAACACAATAAAGATATGCATCATAGTCAACATGCTTAATTTCAACTGGTGGCAGTCTGTAAATAATAGAATCTGAACCAGACAAACCAGTGATCAATAGCATGAGCATCAATCAATGCAACTGGAATACGATAATGTGTGAACCAAATCCGAGAGCCTGGCGACCCAACCCTGTTAACTGCCTCTTACGACAAGCATGGGTTACTGAAGACCAATTCTAACCCAGATCTTCATGGGTTTGAGAAAAGGAAAGTTTTCCCATGGCCCTAGAAGTGTTACATGGTAACTAAGCAATGAACATGTGGTTAATCTTTAATATATTCAGTACTTTTTTATCATGTTCATTATGTGCAGGATTATTTTTGTCTGTTAAGTATTTTTTTTTTTACTTATGCCGCACAGATCCAAACATGGCTGGTCAAAACAATATCTACCTCCCTTGGGACATCTTTGGCAACAAAGAAACTGGCCTCTAATAACAACGAAGGATTATCAAAGGGGTTGTACCAACTTCTCATGCATTTCACAGAAGGGGCGCCAAATCATCAAAGTATGTAAATTGCCAGATATTATTTCAGTTTTATTTATTCTTCAAACAAAAACACTTATAGACAAGGTTGAAATGGCACTATGTTGAATATATTGGCTGCAGGAAATTGTCATGAATCTTCCACTTGAGCCATTTTCACTTACGTCATAAAACATTGGTTGTTTGTCTCAGTGACGTGTGACTGTAATCATTCTCACAAGAAGTTGTTGTATTGAATTCTAAACATGCTCCCTTGTACCACATGACCATGTAAACAAGCTGTTTGGAGAAAATAACTGGAGTTTTCCCGTAGCTCTCCTTTCATATAATGTTAGGTATGAGTCAGCATTTGGTAGTATTACTGTATAAACATCTTTGAAATCATGCATACATGATCAATAGTTTATGAGTATTAGTATCATCGCATCATTATGATCATAGGTTCCGGATGACAGTGCTCACTCCTGCTGTAACATGGGGTGTTGAGTCACATAGACATTCTGGACTCTTGAATAATGACTTGTATCAGGATAAAGTTATCATATATAAGTAAGTGACATGTTTTACAATTGTTTATGCAATAATCGAGAAAACAATGGATGTTCTTAAGTGTCCAAAAACCCATAACACGCCAATGATGTAAAGTCTGCGATGTGAAAACCTCTGTCAATACACGAACCACATGTATGGTTTATATTGGCACATACAAATAGACAATATAAACATTTGTGTATAGTCCATCATGTTTTCTCAATATTTTACATGACCATGTCAACTTAGGGCCCCCACCTACGGAGGGGGCAACATCGTCATTGCTCCGAGTATCGGACACCAGACGGATACAGGAAGCACACGATTCACTTCAGAACAAGCAACGTATGACCAATATCCACCTGACTTCCCGTCTGCTTTCTTTGCAGCCAAACAATTTCGAATCAAATGGATACTGTGTATAAAGACCTCATCTTACCACCCCCTTTGCTTGTTTCCAGAAGATTTTCTTCGCTTGTTGGGGTAGTCATTTTCTAAATATAAGAAATCTGTATCTTTGAGTTGGCAGATGCAGACACCTTGTATGTGTAAAACGTCACAGTACCTGTGTACATCAATTTAGGACGTCATACGCAATTCTTTTAGAACTCAAATCACACTGAATATTTCCTTTCCTACGCTGGATATTAGGAGGCAAATATCACCTATATGACGGTGTTGTACAATGAAATATTTAGTTGTGGTATCTTTGATGTATTTTTGTTTATGAAAAATAAAATGATATGTACTTCACATCCCCGTCTTCGCATTTTAAGGTTTAATCCAGTTAAGAAATAAGCTGGGCTCTGTCTCTAGGCTAAACTGAGTCCCGTCTCATGACGTCACATGGTTTCGGCATGGTACGCGTCGCAAGTTTAACATTGATACATGAACAGGAGCCCAGATCCGTCATCAAAATACAGATGTAGTTGGTCAATATTCTGATGCTGTCAAAATGTTACAGGTGCTTATTGAAGATAAATGTGTTTCATTATTCGAAATGAAACAATAACTGTTTTTATCAAGTCATCTTTGAGCGTCGAGGATTATTGAACCATTGCCCAAATCAGAAACACTGGAGTAATCCTGTCTGCATGGTCACATCCAGCATTACAATCATATCTACAGTCCAACAAGATGGCAATCAATATTCTTTTCTAATATGTCTTCTTATAATTAATGGTAAAGATATCCTGATTCCCCCACCAAATGTCCTCTTGGTCTGTCCAGGTATGAAGCAACTCCGAAGGATGTGACATGAATGTACATTAAGTGCATTAAAATGAAATATCTTTTATCAGAGACCATATAAGATATAATAGACTCATATAGACTTATTATGTGGTTTCTGTCAGATTTATATTATATGGTTTGGGTCAGATTTCAGCATGTGTGATGGCTTCTCCGGCTTCTCCACCAGTATTCAAACCTTACCTTGTATAGTATGACAACATGATTGTTAGAAAAAGGCCAATGTGTTTCCGGTGGTAAAAATATAATGACCATGTTCATTATGAACAACAGATTCTGTTATGATTAATAGTGATGCAAGGGGGACTTGGGCTGTGAGATTAATGTAGTTCCAGGGTTCATTTGTTGACTCACCTAATGGGTAATTATATCATATTTTCAGCCATAAGACATAATAAATTCATCATTAATAGATTGAATTAGGAATAACAGACATGAGCATTATATATCAGTTACCCACTGGTCAGCCCCTGATCTAGTGTCAACATTCTGGGAACCTGTCTTGGGGACAGCTGGCTAAATTGATCTGTGCCAGTTAGGGCATCATTTTTTTTAAATGTGTTTCACGTAGTCACCAAATTCTGAACATGGGTCGGTCAGGGGAAAAAAACTCCTAAAAAACACAACTTAATAAAGACAAAATTATCCGAATAATGTTCTTGATTCTCATTTATTGTAATTCTTATTACAATTTCTCGAGTTCTTTGGACTTTTGGCAGCGACTAAATAAAACATTTTAGATAGATAAACATTTTATAGGACGGGGCGGTATATTTTAGGTGGGTCGGTAATAAAATTAGAAGGGTCAGTCGGGCAATGAGAAACACAAAAAAAATTTAAATGCTGCCCTTAGATGCACAGTGCAGGTCCACAGGTCATCCTGACAGTAACTGTAATGTGCTACATTGTAACATGTCAGGTTGCCTGATTGTGTTATAGGTATGGCATCTGTTGGGCCACTAGACATTCAGCCCTGCAGTCTGATTGATCTTCCAGCCATCAACTCTGTGTTCATCTCTATAAGGTGAGGTGAGGTGAAATTTGGTTTAACGTCGTGCTTAAGAATATTTCGCTCATATGACGACGTTCATCTCTATAAGGGGCCGTGGAGTAGCATAATGGTTAAAGCGTTCGCTCGTCATGCCGAAGACCCGGGTTCAAATCCCCAATGTGTGAAGCCCATATCTGGTGTCCCCCTGCCATGATGTTGCTGGAATATTTTTTGCTAAAAGCGGCGTAATACCAAACTCAGTCAGTCAGTCATCTCTATAATGGGAAATATTGATGTAAAATCTTCATTTGAAATGACGGATCCAAGAATACTACAAACATGGCTTAATGTGTGTATTGTGAACAGCAGCACAGCCTTTACTTTTGGCACTACTCTGCCATGTACTGTGAAACAATGTCTGCCTCATCACAAAGCTTGAACACTCATATCTGCACAACATCATAAGGTCACGAAACCTGCAAACAGCGTGATGTATATCTTGGAACTAGCATTATCCATTTCACTATTGTATACAATTGTTTAAAGAAATCCACAAGATAATGGCACAACACAAATTTCCCACCTACACGTTTCAACTTCATCTTCAGGGAGAAACCTACCTGGGGCCGGATTCACTAAACTTCTTAGAATTTTCTTAGTTTTTATGCTTAAGTTTCCTTAAGAATTCTTAGCTGAGAATTTTTCTTAAGTAGCAATCCACCAAGCCACTAAGCATAAATCTTAGCTGAGATATTTTAAAATTCTTAGAATTTTCTTAGTGAGAAACGCATGGGATTATAGCTGATAAAGGATGACTTCTTTGAGTGAGAGGTGAAATTTCATTGGAAATGAGACTTACTACAAATTGTATACCATCTTTTGATAATCTAAATGTTAAGTGACAACTCTGTTTCTGTGTATTTTCTAAAATGTTGGTTCTATCGATGAATGCATTGGCGTCCATCTTTGTTTACTTTAAGAAAATTCTTAGTGCTTAAGTAACCTACGGAGGATTCTTAAGTTATGAAAAAATCTTAAGCACTAAGAGGTTTGATGAATATTGCTTAAGCAAAAATCTTAGTTTTAGATAAGTTGCTATGGAAACTAAGAATTCTTAGTAGAACTAAGAATTCTTAAGGGTTAAGAATATTCTAAGAAGTTTAGTGAATCCGGCCACTGAACTGAATATAAAGTTGAAAGATTGCCTAAAATATATGTACCGGTATATGTGATAGTGCACTGTGACATCAAAATAGTACCGCAGTATTAATGTACATTTGAAAGTCACTCTTGTAAAGCTGGTTGAGTAACATCATATAGAACTCTTAAACTCGCCTTATCCTTAGTACCTTTTTTTTTTATTTTAGGGCTGAAGATATGCAGCAAACATTTCAACCATGAATGTGCAGCTGGATAATTCATGAGACATCCCCCTTGTGTGAAGAATGAAGCGGTGTCTACGTCTCATACTAATTGCCACAGTAATACTTAGCGTGTTTAGGCTGTTGTATATACTATTTGTCCTACCAGAGTATGGAGAAACCAGACTCCACCCAGGTCAGCTCTGGTCAAAGCGCTACCTTCCGTCTCTAGGTCACCAAATTAATGTCAGTCCTCAGCAAATTGACCTGAGAGTTATTGTCCTGGCCTATGATCGTGCTGAGTCTTTGACTAGGTGCCTGGCATCGTTAAAGGAGGCTGAGTACAATGGTGACAGGGTTCACATTGATGTTTGGATTGACTGCTCTAAGAGTGGACAGATAGATGGAGATACATATACAGCAGCCATGTTGTTCTCATTTAAGTATGGCACTGTTACTGTGCATAACCACACAAGACATGTCGGAATATACGGACAGTGGCTTGGTACTTGGAAAGTAACAGAGCAAACTAAAGAAATTGCTCTTTTCCTTGAAGACGATGTCACAGTGTCCAAATACTTCTACAAATGGCTAAAGGCAGTTCATACAAAATATGATTCGGTTGCCAATATTAATGGCTATTCCACTCAGGGGATGAGCATGAAGCACTCCGGTGATCGTGGATGGCTCCAAGCACCGAAATCAGAAGTGGTCTTCAGCTATCCAGTATTAGGGACTTGGGGATTTTCACCCAGCCTGAAGAATTGGCTTGGATTTTTGAACTGGTATCGAGAGACAGCTTCTAATCCTTCTTTTCATCCATTGGTTCCTGGTCTGAAACCATCTAACTGGTACCGCAGTTTCATGAAATCAGGTAAAACAGACTCGATGTGGTCAATGTGGCACATATATTATGCAAACAAGAATAATGAACTCACAATATATCCAAATTTGCCTTTCAGACAAGGGTTAACAACAAATGGGAATGAAAAGGGGTTGCATTATTCTACCAAACAGAAAACACAAGCAGGCAGAGCCCTTGTTGAATGGTTAGATAAATACATAGCCCTTCCATCTGTGCCAGTCCAACTTGACACTCATGGTAGGGTGGTGAGGTCATGAGAGTGCTGGTATGCAGCTTTTCAAGTCTATACAGAACTGAAACCTGGGATAAACGACTTGTCAGCTCAAGACAAAACTGATACCAGTGACATGCAACCAGTAATAACCAAACTGATACAGCTGAACTCATAACTGATACCCTCGACATGAAGCTTTTCAGCTCATAACCGAACTGATACCAAAGTCATGCAGCTTGTCAGTAGCTAAAAACAAACTTGATACCAGTGACATGCGTAAGGGACCGTTCATAATTTACGGCTAGGGGGGATGATGATGATTTTTGAATGTTTTTTGGGGTTTGGTTGGTTTCCCACCCATTTTGTTCTGGGGAGCTAGGGGGTCATCAGTTTTGTACACTGCATTACTAGGGGGCACAGCAATTTTGTACATAAAAGTATGTTTAAAATTATGCTTAGTAATTATGGGAAGGGGAGGGGGGGTAATTGATTTTGTACATGACATGCAGGGGGTCACTTATTTTGTACATAAATTTCAGTCATTCACATTGTACATGCTTCCCCAGCTCATAACTGATACTCTGGACATGCAGCTTGTCAGCTCATAACTGATACTCTTGACACACAGCTTGTCAGCTCATAACTGAGAGTCTGGACATGCAGCTTGTGAGCTCATAACTGGTACTCTTGACACACAGCTTGTCAGCTCATAAGTGATACTCCGGACATGCAGCTTGTCAGCTTATAAGTGATACTCTTGACACACAGCTTGTCAGCTCATAACTGATACTCTGGACATGCAGCTTGTCAGCTCATAACTGATACACTTGACACAAAGCTTGTCAGCTCATAACTGATAGTCTGGACATGCAGCTTGTCAGCTCATAACTGATACTCTGAACACCCCGCTTGTCTCCTCATAACTGATACTCTTGACATACAGCTTGTCAGCTCATAACATACTCCGGACATGCAGCTTGTCAGCTCATAACTGATACTCTTGACATACAGCTTGTCAGCTCATAACTGATACTCCGGACATGCAGCTTGTCAGCTAATAAGTGATACTCTGGACATGCAGCTTGTCAGCTCATAACTGATACTCTGGACACACAGCTTGTCAGCTCATAACTGATACTCTTGACACAGCTTGTCATCTCATAACTGATACTCTTGACACACAGCTTGTCAGCTCATAACTGATACTCTTGACATGCAGCTTGTCAGCTCATAACTGAACTGGTACCCGAGATATTGTAGCTTGTCAGTTCATTACAGAAGTGAAATCTTGGACATGCAACGTGTAAGGCCCTTACTGAACTGATACCAGTGACATACAGAGCATCAGCTCAAAATAGAAGTGAAACCTTGTCCGTGCAATGTGTGAGGTCTTGATACTAGGTACATAGAGCTTGTCAGCTCATTACAGATGTACCTTGGACATGCAACTTGTCACATCATTACTGAAGTGATAAATATTTATTTCATTTGAGGGACGAATTGGAAGTGCAGGAAAATACAACAAAGGGAGTATATAAGTATATGGGGCATTAGTTGAAAGGTACAGAATGTGGACACAATTTGAATTGCCATTCATGGTTGCAGTGCACCTTCAACAAGGTTGATAACCTTCATTTGTTTTGTGCACGTTTGTGATGTGATTTTATGCATGTTGCAATTGCCGATTGATGGCTTGTCGTCAAAATAAGGACTTGTGTGGGAAGACCTTTTGTCATGTTTTTATACAGCTATAACAGCTATGTTTTCATTCACTGAAATAAACTACTCTGTTGGTGCCCAGTATGGTATGCCACTATCTGTTATGTTGTTTGTTCATGGGAGACATGTATTAGAGGGAAACTTTGGACAGGCAACCAGTAAAGTCTTTACAGAACCAGGGGGATACAGCTTGTCAGCTCATTACAGAACTGACACCTTGGACATGCAATTTCTCAGCTAATTACAGAATTAATTCACTGCAGATGTCTTCATTTATACTTGTAAACTCTGATGTCCCCAACAGAACGTGGTGTTGACACAGGAGATGTCTTCACACATATTATGATCAAATTGGATATTTACTAGTATCTATAAACACTACTTCGCAAAACATGTACCTGTCCATGTTCTTAAAAGGATACATCCTCAAAGGCGCCCTCAATACATTTCGTTTAACTTTGTTGCGGGGTTCTGTAGCCATATTAGAGACTGAAGGCATTAATTGATAATAACTGCATAAAATTTGTCTCAGAAGCAATTGGCTTCCACCATCCAGAATTTGGAATGTGATAATGTCTTCAGAAGCTGATCAATTTTACATGTCATGATACCGCACTGAAGCGGCATATACAGTGAGTATGGTTTCACGCCGCTTTTAGCAATATTCCAGCATTATCACGGCAGGGGACACCAGAAATGGACTTCACACATTGTACCCATGTGGGGAATCGAACCCGGGTCTTGAGCATGACAAGCGGACGCTTTAACCATTAGGTTACCCCACCGCCCCCAGCAAATACAGAAGTATAAAGACTCATGTTTGACTTTACAACCGTTTTTCTTGCCTGCCTTCATCATGGGAACCCGTGAAGATCAGGATTAAAGTTGGTCGTCAGCAACTCATGCTTGTAACGGAACTAACGAAACGGGTGGTCAGGCACACTGATCTGGTTGATGAATGTCATTGTATCCCAACTGCGATGATCGATCCATGAAACGTTAATCCGTTGATTGTGTTGACCAGACCCGATGTTTTACAGGCCGCCATCATGTAGCTGGAATATTGCGGTGTACTTTGTTTAAACTTCAAAACATACGAACATCGAGGGACGAGCACAAAATACATCTACAACCCTGTATGGTTTCTAATATAATTTTGAAAGTCCATTATTGCAAATGTATTATTATTCGCCATACTATTGCAAATCCGGGGCATTCGAGCATAGGAATGACATTTACGATTGTATCTATCAAGGTCATTTTCATGGAATATTGACATGCATTGATATGCAGCTGCCCCTATGTCTGTTGCATTTCACTGATCGATTTTGCATGATTTTGGAACATGTTTCGTGTATTTAAATACAAATTCTGATCATTTATTTCATGTTTTATTCGGGAATTGATTCCAACAAGTTAAGTAAAAATCATGCTTACACATACTTGCGAAGATTCTTTTGTACCTGGAAATATTCACCGTAATCTGAATTATGAAACAGACGAGACTTCTGGTCTCTTCTATTCAATTTACATCTGATGGGTACATCAGTTGAAGGGTTTTCTGGAACTATACTAACAGGAAACAAATAACTATGCAAAACATAAAATTGCATAAATAAAAGTTATTCGAGAAGTTATAAAACTAACCCTAAGTAAACATGGAGTAAAGCACTTGACATTAAATATGATGTCACGTACCGTGCGTGGCACATGCACTTTGAGCACAATGAACTTACTCACATTTTGCATGCTTTTTGACACCTGAAGTTCACACACCTGATTTTGAAAATTAAAGAACGGTTGATTATTCTCTAGCCTCTGAATGTTGTGGAAAACACGTTAATTTCAACCTAAACTGCGTGTACGCCATGCCACGGCTTACAGAAAATCAGCGTCTCAGCCCCGTGGGTATGCTGGAGACTGGAATGGCCCAAAATTAAGTGGCCAGGCGTTTGGTTGGCGCTGCCCTAGACTTAATTAGACAAAGGATCCAAATGACAGTTTAGGCAAAATAAAGAATAATATACAAAACAATGAATACACAATACACAAACAATCATTGCTTGGTGTAAAGATAAATATATAGTATTATATAAACTATCGACTTAGTGTTATTTTTGGAACATGAAGCGATGCTGTATCATGAATCATTCGCTCATTCCAATGATCATGTAGTAACTTGATCTGACAGTGTTCATGGCCATACCAGTCGGCAGTGTGGCATGTGAAAGGTCTCTCTTCTCTCTTCGAATGCTCAAGCTGTGGGCACGTGCTAACTGGTATGCACACACAGAGAAGTACTCCTTTGACACCTGGAACCAAGTCCATGCACTATCTACTCTAGGGAGACTTACTGGAGGAAATTCAAATACAGCTAAAAGTGTATTATGGAGTCAAAATCATTTTTGACATTCCCTTGGAACTGTAAACGTGTTAATTTCATGGCTGATCATAAATAAAGTAATCTTTCTGACTGACTTATCTTGTTAAGTTGCAATGAGTAAACTGAGTGAGTGAGTAATATTGAACAAATCTGAAGATATCATGTATATGATGTAATACATGCAATTCCTGGACTGTCAAGTAAGTATAATAATACAACTATTGTATACACGGCGTCATTAATGAAGGGTCAACCTATTGGTAACACTTTCTTCAAAGTTGTAAAAACTTCGTTTTTGTTTGAAATATACACAACTGAATGTTTTACAAAATTACTCGACAGTATGGAAAACACATCAGGTCGTTGAACTGTTATTATTACGTTCTTCAACGTCCGATACATTCTATTACAAATGGCACATCTTTTATTCAAATTGTCAATATGGAATCCACCTGAAACTTGCCACTTGAATGACTGGCACGTGCAAGTCGCTCTATCCATGGAAAGTGGAGGACAGTACACATGCATTGATGCTTTTTCACTGTCATTTACTGTTCAGTTACCTGTTTGAAGTCGCAGCTTAAAATAAGACGATTTTTTTACACTTGCTGAAAGGGGTCAGGCTATAGGCCTTTTGGAATCTGGTCAAACTCAGCGGCAGGTTGATGTCCACTTTAATGTGAGTCAGAGTGCTATTGGTAGACTGTGACGCAGATTTAGGCCAATGGGTCCGTGGAATATCCACGTCGACCAGGTCGCCCCAGAGTCCCAAAAGTCCCAGATGATACACCTCCTGGAACCCTGTACTGCAGGGATCCAGTGATAGTGATTCTGTACAGCGAGCGCGCCAGTGATAGTGATCGCATTTTCGAGAATAAAAATTGAGCTCTGAAGTAACATATGGGTGATACACAGTGATTGCTTTGGACTGACGTCAAGCTGAATATTTGGCTCTTTCCTATTTGTCCTTACTTTAACACATTGCTGACGCATATGTTTGTAGCCATGTGGTTTACTGGTCGGGGTGGTGACAATAAAGTCTTATATGATAATTTATGTAAATACCGGGAACCATATTGACCAAATTATCACTGAATCTCGAACATTTGGCTTCACAAACATATTGTCTAAATATCGGAGCCTTTCACTCACTCTGTAAAAAGTTGTTGTAAATAAATCAAACTGTACATACTTCGCAGTGGTCGTGATCAGTACAGAACAGTGATTGT